AGGAAGGATGTGCAGTACATTCATTTTTGCCTCAGCAAAAAACAAACAGCTTAACAAAAAGCTTTGAGTATTTACATCACAGCTGACAGTTTGCTGTGTTGATTGGCGAGAAGAAAGTTTAAATCTGTGAACAGATGGTAACACTGGAGGAAGAGAAGCTGACAGCAAATACTGCACTCTGGCACGGAGCTCGTCTTTACACAGCGCGTCCTGAAAAAGTCCTTTACATCCGTCAAATGTAACTTCAGGAATGAAACCGTCCGACGCACACGTGCGCTGAAAAACAAGCTTCAGAGTGAGGGGCACAAACGTTACAAAACACCAGCTCGCACAAAGTGAAAATGCTTTTCTCTGACATTTCTGTCATCAGCAGCCTTTGGCCTTTTTCAGCTAACAATACTAACATCACGCCGCCGCTTCCCTGTGCTTGTGCAGACCGCGGCCGGGCTGCGGCTTCATGCTTCACAAAGACAAACTGAAAGAAGGCATGAAGCCACGCGCGGCCCGCCGACAACGAAGCTCAAATTTAGCTTGACAGAGGTGGCGTGGATGCCACTGTGCAAAACTCCGCGGACGGCAGCTTGATTAATGACGCCCCTGCGCCGGCGATAACGCTTTAAAAACCTGACGAGGAGGCATCGAAGAGGCGCGGCGTCAGCGTCTACTGTACCCGGCTGCTCGTTTAAGAGAAGTACAAAAGTACAGAAATCAACCCAATTATAAAAACCTTTCTGATTAGAATTTTAGCGTTTTAGTGAAACTTTCTATTCAAAGTACTCAGCGTGAGGGCGTCCTCAGCCTGTGATGGGTGAAACATTTGCTTTGCAGCTTGTTACACTTTAGAAAGGTCAACATCACCCAATACGACACAGTCCTTTAGAAAACCTTCCTTTTTCTGTAAAAATGGCTACGCTTCCCTTTGTGTGAATGAAAGACGACGTTTACAGAAACACTGATGTTTACAGGTCCCAGAGTTTCCCTGGAGTTTTCAGGAAAAGGAATCGCAGATATTAAAATGCGAGTACAAAGCAGAACGTTCTGTTTCTAAGGTTTTGGTCTGAGCAGAGTCAAAAACACGAACAGTGTTTAAATCCCTGTGAGGCTTCGGGGTGTCTCCATGACACCACAGAGACGGGATATACCTAATATCTTAGGCACTGAAGCCCCGCCCACCTGCTATTCTGGCCTACTTTTAGTGAGGGGCAGCCAATCCGAGGAAGGCTAGCTTAAAGAGAAAGGGGCAAAAACAGCTCGTTTCAGGCCAAGATAAACAGATAAATGCGCATTAGTTTGCACTGTGGATCATGCAAAGCTGCTCTAATACACCAGACTGCTGTTACTAAGTAAGCTGCTCTGCATTGGCAAAAAAAAGTGAAAAGTTCTCTTGACATTTAGAATATGCAAATTACATTTACATTGACATGGTCTGATATGATGTGCACTCATAAAACTGTTTATCTGATACGAGTTGATGTTTAACTCACAGCTGCACACGTGCAAAGGTCTGAACAGCGATCTGAAAACAGCAGCTGTGATGGTGAAGCTGAGGTTTGACTTCGACTGTCTGAGTCCAGGAGACTTTAAAGTCCAACTGGAGACCAAAACTGTAA